GAAGCGGCAGTCACCAGTTTTAAGTCTGAGCAGTTAATAAACAGTAAGGTCCTTCTTGTTGGGTTTCTTTACGATGTAGTAAACACCTGATTAATACTGGATAATCGGCACCGTTATCTACTTGTTACTTAGCCTACAAAAAGCAAAAAGCAAATTCTCCGACGAAGGTTTTCTTGAAACAAATTAAGGCATGTAACGACCGGTAGCATCATAAACGACCAAGATGTCTGGTTTGAGACCTTGGCAGTCAGAAGGTTGAGGCAGCATCAAACTTCTTCCACCGTCAATACCAACCAATATACCTGCAGAATGTGTGGCAGAGACTACCGCTATACCCACAAAATAACCTGTAACCCACCTTGACATGACATTGTTTAAAAAGTCTAATAGACAGATTAAGACTAATGATGATAAAAATGAGTGTAAAGCCGCGGGTAATCGCTAGTCTACATATGCATATACGAAGTTTTAATAAAACCTCAATCAATTGGTAAATCTATAAATAAAAGTAAAAATTGTTTGTGGTTATATATCTTGCCTTCCCTTCTATCAGCCCCGCCGTAAATAATTTAAGCATGTTCGCTTGCATACGACGCCTTAGAGGTGGAAATCTATTTTCGCAACCCAAATTCTCAAAGTGATAAATATCAACATTATGAGTGACCCACTTAGAATCGATCCCGGAACCTTCTGCATCGCAAGCATTCGCACTACGAACGTGTCACACCAGCCAACATATATCAACCTATGTCATGTGTACCTATGTCTGTTATGTGAGTTGTTGACGTGATGTGATGTGTCGTTTTGTGTCGTATGCTGATCAAAATGCCGTCGTTTGTGTTGATTTAATCGATGCTTTCATTTCATTGTTCCATTTGCATTTTTAACTGTTTTCCTGCTGAATGTGGATCTATCATGTCCATTATACAAAAACAGATAAACTCGGAAAATAGAGTTCAATAGTTTCATTTTACTTATCTCACGTGAAGTACCGAGTCAAATATTGACCCGATGGACCGTGGGTACGAGTCCTTTAACCAAGTTTTAGGTTTCTAAAATGGCAATATAGAGCAATCTCCATTTTTATGGCTATGATTAGTTTGTAAATTCTAAGCCAATGGCATAAATTGCTGTGCTAGTACAAGTACGGAATTTGAAACTACCTCGCGTCTGTACTATGAGGAACTGTCCAGAACCACATTATTGAAGAAAAATATATATAGTTGGCGCGCTCCATCACCATGTAGATATAATTATGACGATAGAGAGCGCCATCTATATTTTTCTTTTCAATGATATGGCCATGGACAGTCTCTCATTAGGAAAATTATGTTCAAAAATCTGAACATTCATCATTGTGTCCAGGCAGCATTCAGCAATCAGCAAAAGTCCTGTTTCTAGTCTAGCTCATCATTTCAAATTTTTGCCCATTTTTCTCCTCAGTTATAACAAAAATACCTTTTAAATAGGCATTCAGCAGTGAAGGTGTTGACTGGATTTGCGATTGTTTGTTTATTAAACTGTGTTGAGTGGAAAGCCTGCGAGTATTTTGCACTTGTACTTGTTTTATTTGTCGACTTTTTTTGGAGTGGATAACCGTATTTACACTTCACTTCAGGAGCAGGGTTTATGAATGTTTGAAATATTAAAAGCTCTTTTATTTTTTTAAGTATTGGGGAGTATTGGTCTGCCGCCTGGTAGCAAGCGAGCGACCATGCAGACTATGATATTCGTCTTCGAATGGGACACCGAGTCGTCCAACGACCTGATGAACCTTGGCGTCACTATGATGCAACATGCTTAATGCATGCATAATTTTACATACGTAAAAAGTACAAGTTCTAGCATACCGGAATTGGATACACTGACTGGGAATTCAACTAAGAACTTTCAGATATGTATTGAGTACCTATTAGCATGTAGGGAGGGAGATCCAAGTCTTTCGGATAGTACCGTCAAATCTGGCAACTCTGTTAACCAGTTGGTAAACTAGAAAACTTTTTTTTTCTCCTTTTTCTTTTCAAATCGGCTGATTGCATAAACTATACCTCACATTTACTTACACTAAACCTACTTGCTCACTTTACTGGCGATAAGTATACGTTCCCATGGACTTAATCAAAGCCATGCTCATAGGGCGTTTTGCAAACATGTCTACACACGCTATAAAGCGAGGAACACACTCAACGTCCGTTTGTGTGTTATTTTTGCGCAGCGCTATAACATGTAATAGGAGGTTGAGAAATTCACCAGGGTCTGCTAGGCGCCCGTAATTGTTGGCAGAGCGGTGGAACGGTGATCCACAGTCCCGGGTTCAAGTCCCAGCGGTCACTAGTGAATTTTTCAGTTATCTCATTTTCAATTTATTTAATAAGAATATGCGATTTGCCTCCATAAGCGCAAGCTACATAGAATAGACGTGAGACGTGCGATATCGCGACGGTTAAAACATTTCCTTCAATGTATGAAACAGAATCGACAAGGCTACACACGTGAGATGAGACGTGCATCGCAGTGATGACGGCATTGACGGCAGACGATTACCTACTTGTCTGTCAGATCGACGGTCCCTACGTATAATGACGTAAGTGAAATTAGCAAATTTTACAGGAGAGCGTTTTTAAATTGCAAATTAGTGTATCTCTAGTAATATTATACATAGAGTTATGAAATTTGAAACATATATTTATCAGGTCAATATATTTGAGAAAAATAGAATAAAATGTTAAAATAATTATTATTTCTACATAAATAATCATATACGTAGTTATACGACGGAAAATCTGTAGCTGTAGAAAGCCTATGTGGTACTTAAGTTCTTATACGTGGGAGTGTATCCCAAACAAAAAAAGCAACTGTCAGTTAAGGGATTTTACGTTGGTTTTATTGCGCATAAACCACATTTTAGTTTTGATTTTACCTTGTATTTTTACATTTTACAAGTAATTTTAAGTTGATACCGTAAATATAAAATATGGTTAACAGTTTAGAATAGTTTTCTACGACAAGATATCAACGATACAGCAAATATTAACATAATTATTTTTGTGCCGTAAGTGCCAGATACGGGAGAGAGCGCACTGGGCGTGTTTACCTTCCAGTGTAAAATAACGTAACTTAACTACCGTCATTTTACGTCGGAATATGAGTAATAAAGCGGGTTCCTAACTACCACTACCGTCATTTTACGTTGGAATTGTGTAAATTTTGTAGTTAAGGGGTGTCAATTTCGAATGGAATTAGGCCATTTAGAATCATGCTGTCTTTACCGAAAGTAGCTTATGACAATCTAAGGCGAAATCAAAGAAAAAAGGCAAATGACTTAAGTACCACTTACGGGATTGTACGTAGGGACCGTCGAGATTTATTTTTTATTTTTTTATTTATTTATTTGCACCTTATTTTCATACAAATACCGTTTATGTCAAACAGTTTGACTGACGCATTTGTCAACGCAGCGTTGTGCGAAACTGTAGGTATAATGTATGAAGATAAGTTGCAAAATCGTGTTTTCCTAACGCATGCGATAGCGTTGCGCAAAAATAACGCACAAACGGACCTTAGGTACGTGTGTTTATAGCCTAAGCTTCTACGTGTTATCGAAAAACTTAAATTACGTTTTCAGTTCACATTAGTGCTAGGTCAGTGATTCTAAACTTAGCAGTAGTGTATTGATTTAAAGCTTTGGCTAGCGATTCAAAGGTTAAAGATTCGGTGTTAAGGAGGTCTCAAAAGGCCTTTGGATTTTTCTCAGTTTGGTTTCTTCAAAATCGATGGGACTTAGGATTATCCCATGACTTTGTGAACTGTTGTACTAAAAAAAGGCTAAACAGCATTTAAGTAGAAGTAGTCCTTTACTTGTGTAGGTTTTTTTTTCTATCAAAATACTGAATAGCATAAAAATAAAGTAGCTTTTAGCGTTTCTCTGTCTGTCATGGACACCGCCTCCTCCAAAACTCTGCCACGGCATTTCTTAAAGACAAAGCTATTCAAGAGCATAGATTATATGTATGATATATGCCGGAAAAATATTTTTTTCCGCATGAATTCCATTAGCATTGGGTGCAACACTAGTATTTCTATTGATCTTATCTTCTTCTTTTCTCGTCGCGGCGAATTAAAGTTTTTCAGCCCAATTGATTGAATAACATCATAGCTAGCAGAAAGGCTATATTATTCTCTCATCAGCTACAAATTGCCAGCGATGAATCGTTCTAGTTGAACAAGCACATCTAAAGTTACTAAGTCACGTCTAGTACAAGCCTAAAAGCCTAGCGTGTCCTAGTTACGAAAACTTTCCATATTATATACCTACGCCTCGAACAAACATTGCTTACCAACTCACTGAGAAGATTCAGTGAACTAGCAATAACGTGAACGGAAAATATTATGATAGGTGATTTAAGTTTTTCAATATTACGAAGGAGCAAGTTGCAACTTTTCTTAGAAGGTCTAAGATAGATTATATATGCTGTGTCAGATTTTCAAGGAAAACTCTGGTTTCAGTTGTTGGGAACTGGTTGGTTATCGTGAATGAATCTTTGTTCAGTTTCATGGTCTGCATGCCACCATAACAGCCACAACGATCCACTCTTGGACATGGGCCTCCCCCTCCCCCCATCGGGGGGTGTTGCCATGCTCACCACGCTTGGCAGGCTGAAATATGCAATATGTTGCATTTACAGGGAACGCTGCTGCCCATTCCGTGGATGATTATCTCATATGTCGCTTTGACGACACCCACGGGTAAAAATGGGGTGATGCTATTCTAACTCGGCATCACACGGTCTGCATGCACGCTATCATTATCCGATTAGCTGACCTTTACATCCTGAATATTCAAAATTTGTGGTATCGTCAAATTGGCTTATAGCATAATTTACACAATGTAGGTACGTAAATTAGTAAGCATTTGATAAACATTGTATAAATTATAGGTATTTGTTAGGTACTAGTTCTCCGAACACATTACCTACATAACACAAAATAATAATAAGTCTGACTGATATGGCGCAGTGGTTGTGCGGCTGCCTGCAATGCAGAAGATTCCGGGTTTGATTCCCGGTGTGTTACTTCACAAAATTGATCTTTGTCACTTTGTGAGTTTTTTCCTAGTCTGGTTAGGACATTGCAGGCTGAACCACCTAAGTGTCCGAACATTGCAGGCGAGGTTCGTTACCCAACCGTTGTGAAAGGCCGGCCATTTGTAGAAGATGGATGACACCAGAGTTAATCGGGTCGATGAACGACTCGGTGTCCCACTCGAAAAGCAGTTCCCCGAACACAACACCTACATAACATAAAATAATAATAGGCCTAGCTATAAAATCTAGGTTCCTACTAGACGTAGGTTAGCAACTTTTGATATTCTTGTTTTTCCAAACTTTCACAACAGAACGGGCAGCAACTAGGGTATGAGAAACTACCACGAGAATAAATATAAATATACCTGTTTTTCAGAACAAACAAGAAATAACATCCCACTTGTAGGAAGATCGATCTAATGAATCTTCAGATTCAACATATCTCAGTCAGTGCTGAAAATGTGAAGATATTCCATTTAACGAATCTGTTTTTGCTTATTTTCAGGTAAAATGAAGTCCATCACCAGATTTCTCCATCGAAGACATAACAACGGTATTAGTGTTTATGGATTTTTGGCTGGATCCAGTTACTATCTATTAGACGATAGGAAAATAATGTCATCATCTTCCCGCCCTTATCCTAAATCGGTAGCGGTCGGCACAACCTGGTTTGTTAGAGCACAAAATCATGTAGCAAAAGGATTTTATCACCGGCTGCCTGCCTGATATTAACCCTCTTTGGGAGTGGTTGGCCACCATGCAGTTGGCCATATAATCGACAAATAGGTATTCAGCCGAGGTCAAAAACTCTACGTCGCCTTTTACGAAACACCCTCAGTGGACGAGTAGGGGTGGCAGTATTCTGAGCCGCTACCACACGGCTAGAAAAGGAACATTATGTAATCCCATATAAACCACGGCTCACACTACCGTATCAAAATTCTGACAATCTCAGGTTGTCATTTCTATGGCGGCTGTCATGAACCGCAATTTCATCCGGTGCGTTTTCGGTGAGTAAAATTGATACAATTTCATCCAGCACGCACATGACAAAAAGATTTGTAGCATAAGTAGCATAAATTTAAATTCCACATTTCAACTCTACGACGAGACGCCGTCTACGCCCGTGGGATCACAGTTGTCGTCTTACGTCCTACGTCGAATGTCTTACGTCTTACGAGTGGAGGTAGCGCCCAAGATTCATACTATAAAATGGTTTGGAATAAATCTTCGTGAAGTACGAGACCTCATTACTAAGCTCTATTTATTACGCTTAGACAGGTGCCAATAAAATGAATCGATTCAATAAAAGTTTGCGAAAAGGGTTCTCTTTTGTTTTTATTACTTGTTTTGCTCGTATTTTTCAGAAGTTCGATGCTGTGTAGGTTTTTTGTTGTCTGCGTATGGCAGATATTTTATTTATAGTAATGATTAATTTTCTTTTTAACTGTCTTAACCTTTTGGGGTCACACATAGGTATTGAATCAAAATAGTAATAAAAGGACACGAGTTTTATTTGAATTGTCCCATATCACTTTTCGTTTTACTCGAGTTAAAAAGACTGATAGTGTATGAGCTACAACAAATCTCGCAAACTCGCATCTCTATCACTTATACGAAATAGGGTGATGCTAGTAAAAACCGGCACCACACGGCAGCGGTTTTTATTTTGTATGAGCCACTTTAGAAAGTAGAAAAGAATTTAGAATTTCCTTATTTTCCTCCTGTTGTTACCCTCTTTCTTCTTATATTTTTTTATTTGCGTACACAACCTTACTGTTTTGCATAATTTTACACAGTTTGCGCTTATTTTTCTTCATGAGCTTAGCTTTGTGCAATCTTTTAGAGAATTGTTGGCCTCATTTTGGGAAAATTATCATAACGTAACTTAAATTAGCGTGGTAAATAAGTTTCGAAAAAGATAAGAGCTATTTAGGTTCTGTCATATTAGGTTATTTAGTTATATCAATTGGTTCTTCGAGTCGCCATTGCTTTCATTATCTAGCACAATTATAAGACATGAAAATAATCTATCTTCCTACAGATACGACATCCACATAGTAGATAATATCTATTTTACTGTTACCAACCTACATATCAAAATGAGTATTTTACGGAGAAATAAGTATTTTATTGTCATGATCAACTAAAACCCTTTTTTAAGTATTTGTACGAAAAAACTATATAAATTGGGCTCTTTAAATAGGTAGGTTAACGTGTTTGCGGTAGTAGTAAGTACCCACTACCCATTACAATACAATACATAAGAGAACCGCACTGCAATAATTTTAAGTCAAATAGTGACAGTCTCCACAAATAGCATGGTTAGTTCCGTGCCCGGCGTGAATAAGTTGATATGTCTAAAATGATGATTTTACAGGAGAGCGATTTTAAGGTTTTGAACTATTTCCTAAATCCAGTTTTTTGTTCAATGCAACAATTTTACTTGATCTAGCTATTATTTTGAGAGATAAATCAAATGTTAATGAGCAATTATTGAATAAAAGCTTACTTTACGAGATAATAGACTTATCAATGGTGTTTTTGACTGTTATAGTTGTATAATTAGACTTATCCATATGTTCACAATTTTCACGAACGACATATTCACTTATTAACCTTGTTGTTAATATGAAACGTTACTTGAAATAAGCGAATCTCATCAATCTTATGCCGTGTGATGCCGGCTTAGAATAGCATCACCCCAATTCTACCCGTGGGTGTCGTAAAAGCGACTAAGGGATAATCATCCAGCGAATGGGCAGCAGCGTTTCCTGTCAATGCAACATCTTGCACTGCGTTCGCCAATCCGCCTGCCAAGCGTAGTGAGTATGGCAATACCCTCTGATAGAGGGAGAACCATGTCCAGCAGTGGACTGTTGTGGCTGTTGGCATCAATCTCATTAGCCTATAGCAGTCTACTGCTTGGTGTAGGCCTAGGCCCAGGCTACGTCACAAGTCACGATCTCCCGTTTTTCCCTTCCAGTCGCTTTTGGCGACTCTCTTTAAGTCATCGGTCCATCTGGCTGGAAGGCGTCCAACGCTACGCTTGCCGAGTCATGGCCTCCTTTTGAAGACCCGCTTACTCCACCGTCCATTAACTCTGCGACATATGTGACCAACCGACTGCACAAATCAGCTTGCCACACTTCCATACTATGTCTGTTACTTTAGTCTTTTGGCGGATAATCGTTTAAAGCCTTATCCATTATCCATTAGCGAGATTCTTTAGACCTTTCCATAGGCCTCTGAGTGAAATGTAGCAGGTGGCCCATTTTTACTGTCTGGTTCTACGTTTAGGAGTCATGAAAGTAAGATGCACTGATCGAACAACTTAGTCTTGAGGCGTTGTGGCAAAAGTGACTCCAGAATATTATGCAACTTCTAAAATGCTGCCCAGGCTAAATGCACTTTTCTAGTGATTTCAGCCTCGAAGTTGTATTTTCCTAACTGCAATGTTTGCCTAAGGTAAACATACTTCTGGACAACTTCAAGGTCTACACATTCTACTGATTGAAGATGACCTTGCTATTGTCCAAGTTTCATCTCGAGGCTCACACGCTTCTCGACCTCAAGGTCGTATTTAGACTTGACAATTCTTTGCAGGCTTATTATGGATATGTGGCCGGCAAAGTGGAGATGCTTGAGATTTTCACCATTCACGTCAATGCCCAATCCCACAGTAAGGTCTTGAATACATCCCGCAGCAGCGTCGTGGTAAAAAGTTTCGGGGATATAACATCACCAAGCTTTACACCTCGGAGTAGTGGTATGGGTCTTACTTCCTGGTTTTGTACTTGAACGGAGATGATCTTCATGTGGTTGAGGTCATCGTCGCTGATTTATACAACCAGCGATTGGCTATTTTACTCTTCTGACTTCTGTATGACCTGCAGTACAGTATGGATGTGGTTCACAGTGCTGAAACCATTACGAAACCCAGCCTGTTTCAGCGGCTGAAAGATGTCAATTCTTGACGCCAGACGATTACGGTCATGAAAAGGTTATAGACGTTTTACCCAGTAGTTTGATCGGCTCAATGTGTTTGTGAATGTGTCTGCTCCTTCGCCGCCTTCAGGGTTGTCCCATTGGCAATTGTGGAGTTGAATAGCCTTTTCCACTAGCTTTAAGCAGCGTAGCAAGGGCACTCCGTCTTCCTCGGGAGCCTTTCTATTATTACACTGCCTCAGATCACTCGATTCCAGCTATATCTACGTCCGGGAGATTGTCCGTAAAGAGGCAGGAAAGAGGGCTCTGTAGGCTGTCGCATCAGAGGAAGGTTTTTATTAAAGTCCTCGATTTCAGCGAGAACCTCTGGAACCTCTAACTCGAACCTCTCGAACCTCTAGAATAGGTGCACTTCTGGGCAGGTTTTTGGGGGGTTTTCCTGTCCAGGGGGTCCGGCTAACTATACGTATGGAACACCTTTTTAAAATATTGACAGAATGTAATTCCATTTACTTGTCAATCACTGAGGCATAAAGTTACATGCTGTGTGGTTAGCCTGGCCAGCCCCGAGGCAGTGCCTTTATTTTTATTTTTTTTATCCCGCCCGTGCCGCGTTTAGAGTAGGAACACAAATTGTTATAAAAAATAGAAAATTTTGCATTAGAAATTTTCTCTTTTTTAAGTTTGAATTAGAATGTGACTTTCTTAAAGAGAATCTTGTAAATTCCTACTAAGAAATAAATTATTGAATTTGAATTTGAATTTGAATTTGATGTGACGGTATCACCATTCAAGGCAGTTAGCTTTGCTACATGATTCCTTCCCAGTGTCTTAGTAAAGACTTTTGTCCGGCGATTGCCTCTTGTAAGAGTGTTTGAGCTTCGGAGGTCGCGTCTCGCTTCGCTTCTGTCTCTCTTCTCTTCTCTATCTTTTTATGAAAAGATCAGAAGCATCTTTTTCTGGAAAAGCATCCTCTGGTGTCTCTCATATAAGTTTGAAACTTGAAAGTTTGGACTTTGTCTTTTCGTCCTTTGTGAATG